GATCTAGCTCAATCGGATCAGAATAATTGGAGCGGGCTGTTTACATGACACATTTTTCTTCCGAACAACTGTTTAATCCGTTTAATTTACTTTTGTCCATGTAAACGTAGCTAATGACAGACAACAAATATTACATTTATAGTATTACAACTAAAACCGTTTTTGATGCCGCCACCGCAGTTTGTCCTTCATGAGCCTTCGTAGACAAGATGGCGGCTGCCTGTGTGGCGACCCGCGACCATGGAGACATGAACAGCTTTTTATAAGGTAAAAATAATAAAACAAGGTCTTTGTCTGCAATGATTAGACATATTTTTAATTATTGTCATTAGTGATTATCTCAATTTCAGCTAAAAGACTTGACAAAATCCTACACACTGTGCCTTTAAGTAAAATAAATAAATAAACACAGTGCAAGAAAATGGATTTGATTTGTATAGAATTTAATGGAAATTATGTTAAAGAAACAAAAAAATGCAGCAAAACAAAGACTGTGAAATGGGTGAGATCAATGAAAGGTGATTCTCAGAAAGAAATTTGTCAAAGGTTTAATATTCTATTTTTCCTGAACGGGAACAGAACGTGAAGCGACACTAATGTAAAAGTGATTCACACAAGAAACCCACAGCTCAGAAACCTGCCTGTCCATCTATGGACAGACAGTCAGATAGCAGCAGAGATCAGCAGTGTTTAGATGCAACTCAGTCTGTTCTGCTCCTTCCAGGTGTGGACTTGTGTGTTATATTTCATTATGATAAAATAATAAAAAAAAATGTTAAACTTTAAAGAATTTTTTTAACCAAAGTTTTGGTAAATTTTCTTATGAAAATTGAAAAAACATTCAATTAAAAAGTGAATTTAGATTTTTCTTCTAACAAACCCTAAAAAAACATTGTGTGCTATCAACCAAAGCAGAGAATAATTAAAGCAATGCGAGATCTTTAATAAAATAACAGTCATGCATCGGTGATGTGTTCAACATTGTCCCTTTTGGTCAGGAGCTGGTCACCCTAGACCTGTCCCTGGTGTACCCCACCTCTCAGCTCCCCCTAAACCTGAACAGATTTAAGCAGACAGCTCATGAGAAAGTGTGTACAGTGTCACATTTAGTTACTGACTCAGTCACTGAAGAAAATAATTATATACTGCAGCCAGACTCAATGATTTCCACCTCAATCAGTCACAAGAATAATCAGCTTTTCCCTACATTTACATCATCTTATGCATATTGTAATTATAAAACTTTCCTGGGTGGGGAAGCATAGATGTTAATTTTCAGCATCTGTAGAGAGTTGTTTTGCTTTGGTAAGTTTGCATCAGTAGTTCTCATATTGACAAATCAGGATAAAAGTAATGAGAATGACCTTACTGCCTGGAACACACCATATATGGTATAAATAGGATTTTTTTTTATGACCATTCCTATTTTACTGAATATATTCTCCATTTGCTGCTTAGACAGACCTGGTACATCAAAGGTTTAGACTCCACTTAACCTCTGAATGTATCTTGTGTGGAATGGAACCACAGATGCAGAAGTGGACTGACAAGTAGAGACCAAAAAGATTAACGTTACAGTGCAGACCTCAAGTTTGGACACACCTTCTCACTCAAAGACTTTTCTTTATTTTCATGACTATGAAAATTGTAGATTCACACTGAAGGCATCAAAACTATGAATTAACACATGTGGGATTATATAAACAAAAAATTGTTAAACAACTGAAAATATATCTTATATTCTTCAAAGTAGACACCTTTTGCTTCGATTACTGCTTCACACACTCTTGAACACACACTTTGCTCACACTTAAACCTGACGGGGCACACCTGTGAAGTGAAAACCATTTCAGTTGACCACCTCTTGAAGAGTGTGTGAAGCAGTAATCAAAGCAAAAGGTGTCTACTTTGAAGAATATAAGACATATTTTCAGTTGTTTCACACTTTCTTGTTAAGTATATAATCCCACATGTGTTAATTCA